ATGGCTAGCAAGCAACTGCAAGCTGCAAGTGCAACTGCAGTGTCCTCTCCACTTCATCCCCCAACTAAAATTTTGGTCCTTCTGATTGCAATTCACATCTGCTTGCAGCTTGAAGTGTGCTGTCACTCAGCCATGCTGTCAGTGGGAAAGAAGATATTTTACAAGCACAGCTAACCACCATAGGTCGCAGAATCCTTTATTTGGCCCACTGTCTCACACTTTTGACTGCTTAATTTTTTGATCAAAGGTAGTGGCATTTTTCATGCATGCACCACTGATTCTTTACAGCGTGAAGAGGAGAACCTTTCCCACAAGTCCTTTAAAAGACTCTTCATAAACTTGGCTTAAGATCATTTCCACTTCACTTTATTTACAAGAAGCCTCACCATCCTAGAAACCTCTGAAGTCAATAAAAAATATATATATTAATGGATATTTTGAAGCTTTTCTTTAGGAGGTCATCTCTTCCCACCATAACAAAAACACTAGAGTAGATAAGACCTTAAACTATGTCCCTGCTCAGGYACAGTTTCCTTCAGCACAAGCCTCCAGTTCCCATTTTGCAGCTAACTCTTCCTGCATGAAAGGGTTAACTGCCTTGCCAAGCCAAGCACATGGTTGCCAAGCCATGCCAAGCTGCTCAAAGGGCAAAGTAGAAGGATCTCCAACCAAAACAACAAGCTGCAGTGGGAAAGCAGCTAGTATTAAAATGAAAGRCATCAAAAAGTAAAGTGGATCCATACTACTTCTTCTCTCCACCCTTCCAGACAAACTTTGTGCTACATTGAATCTACAGATGGGTCACTAAGCTGCTTTAGGGCCAAGAGATCACAGAGAGTGGGAAGACCTTGTCTAACAAGACCTCTTGGGAATTCTTTCGTGGAAATCGCAATTATTTCTACTCCATTTCCGAGAGAACAAGACCGTTGTGTTAAGTAAATGCCCCCAAGCCCCAATCACAACTGCTACCATATTCCTGTATGTCAGTTACTGAGCACTTGCCCCAGAGAACATGCAGCCCACAGATATCTTTATCAGCATAGTCCTAGATTTCCCAGGCTGTGTCTTGCCTGAGATCCATAAAAATAAGGAACACTACATGTAGTTTTGGAAAGCTCTTCCTTCGCATATAAGAAAGCAGGTGTTGAGCAGACCAGCCAGGCTGGCAGATAAATGCAGGATCCAGCATCACAGCAGGCTGCCAGGCCAGCCAGAGGGAGCATGTCACTYGTGTAACAAGTTCCTTCCCTTCTAGCTACACTCCTAGCCCTTCTTGAGCAGCATCTTTACCACACTCGTCCCTGAGTTTCAAAATCTTCCCTAGACATAAGTCTCTTTGTTCTCTCACCAACATGTTCCAAAAAGAAAAAAAAAAAAAAGCACAAGAGACTGATGCCACATGACCTCATGTCATTTCACATCAGTTTCCAAATGCACAAGGTAATGACCAAAAACCCTCTGTGAGGATACACCAGCACTCAGCAACCAAAAGTTAAAAGCTAAACGTTCTTAGGCCTAGATTGAGTCCCATGGATAAGGTAAAACATCTCTTAATGAACCTCAAAAGGAAGAGAAACCTCGAGAGGTCTACACAGCCACTAGAGCTTCCAGCCTGGACGCCTGGATTCTCCTCTACTTTCCAACACCTCATCTGAAGGACTCTCACAGCCTTAAGAGAGAGGCAAGTCAGTGGTGACAATATTGGCCAAAAGACAAGGACAACTCAGCCAGAACACAAGGAGGAGAAAGAGAAACACAAAGCAGCACTATAAGGAAGACCTAACAGGCCTAAAGCACCACTGAGCTGCAGACCAACCCCCAGCCTCTCCTTGGTTCTGTTCTTTAGACGCATAGAGCAGCTTTCTCCTCCTTTCAGTTCCACATAAATCATATTCCTTACTTCTGTCCTCTGTAATAGCAATCCCACAGCAGGGAAATCCCAAAGTGCCAATCACTAGAGCYATAAGATAGTCACATCCAGCTCTGCAGGGCTCCCTGCAGGAGGGGAAGGGAGAAAAAAGGCCCCCAAGGGGAGCCAAGCCACCACAGAAAAGCAATTACCACAATTACACCACCAACAACTCCCCATTTCCTCCCACACTCCTGCTTGCCTCTAAAACACATCCAGAGCACCTCATCCCTGCTGCTGCAGGTCCTTTCAGTATCATTCCCCACTTTGCAGCTCCAGTAGCTCCACAGCTCTCCAGAAAAGAGGGCAGCCTCCTCAAAAGCCCCTGCTGTCTGCACCGATGGAGTGATGTGGTCACCTCCCTCCCTCTTGTCCCCCCTGCAAGGAACAGAGGTTGGCTCCTAAGTAGGTGTCATTTCTCTGGCAGCTCATTACAGCATGGGGGAGCTGGCCAAGAACTGAACCCTCATGATCAACCAGAGGAACTGAGCCTCCAGAGCCAYGAAAGTGTGTTAGGAAACATCATCCTCCATCCATCTACAGAACCAGGGCACCAAGATGCTATCCCATCCTAGAGGATGATGCCAAAGGGTCCCAGAACCAGGTCTACCTCTACCAGCTGCCCTGACAAATACTGGAAAGCTGGCAGGGGTATTTCTCAAAAGCAAAGCTCCATGCACTCAGAGCACCCTTGWTTGCACTGGAATGAGCCAATTTCAAAAGAAAGCAACAAATAATGAATTACCCACAAAACAGGATTATCACAGAATGGTCAAGACTGAAAAGGACCTCTAGAGAACATCTAGTCCAATCCTTCTGCTCAAGCAGAGACACCTAGAGTACATATCACAAGGTCACATCCAGGGGGGTTTTGAAGACCTTCAGAGAAGGAGACTCTGCAGCCTCCCTGGGCAGCCTGTTCCAGGGCTCTGTCAYCCTCACAGGAAAGAAGTTCTTCCTCTTAGGGAGACGGAACTTCTTCTGTTTCAACTTATACCCATTACCTCTTGTCCTGTCACTGGCCACCACTGAGAAGAGTTTGCCCCTTCCTTCCTACCTTCATCCATCAGGTATTTGTACATATTGGTCAGATGTCCTCTCGGTCTTCTCCAGAAAAAACAGGCCCAGGTCACTCAGTCTTTCCTCAGAAGATAGATGCTCCAGCCCTTTAATCACTTTTATTGCTCTCTGCTGGACCTACTCTAGAAGCTCCACCTCCTTCTTATACTGGGGGAGCCCAGAACTGCACCCAATCATCCAGGTGCGCCCTCACCTGAGACTGAGTAGAGGGGCAGGATCCCCTCCCTCCACCTGCTGGCAACACCTTCTGATGCAGGCCAGGAGCCCATTGGCCTTCTTGGCCATGAGGGCACACTAATGACTCACAGCTTACTTGTCATAATTCAATAAATGTTAATAATAAACATTATAAATCAATAAAACAACAATAAATCAGAGGGCCTCTCTCTCGTGRAAAGTTGGAGATTGCCCTCTAAGGCAGGACAGAGACCCAAACGGACCACAGATTCCTAAGTGGAAGGGGCAGATGTGCCTCCACATTTTCTGACACTTTTAATGTATATGACACCTTTCTGCCTGAAAATGGGGTGCTTTGGACTCAAAATAACTCATTAAAGCAAGGAAGGAGCATCTGTCTTCCAGATTACCTACCCCTTGTCCAATTGGATCAAAACCCAACACCCAAGGAATTGTGCGGTTGCTTTGCTGCATCCCAAGCTAATCTATCTTCTCCTAGATGAACTGCTGGTTTCCAAACTGCAAATCCCTCTTGAGCCTGGGCCACACCACTTTGCTAATCACCTACAAGGGCACTCACTCCCTCTCCGGAGGCAATTAATGGGAGACATCAAAGGGTTGGTTCCTTCCTAAGCTTTTTTGGGCTGCAGCAAGTGGGAGCCAGACCCCAGGAAAGAGAAGGGTGGACAAGTTGCACGTTGAGGGCCGCAGAGCAGCGTCGGYGCCTACGTGCACACACACAGCTCGGGGGCCCTAATGAGAGCGCGTGGAGGGACAATGGGCATTTCTCCTGCCTAATCAGGGACAGTTGGAAAGTAGGACAGCAACTGATTGGAAAGCTCTGCTGGACTCGGAAAGTTGTTTCCCTAGAGGAGAATGGTCCCTCCATACCAGTGCAGCCATTTCACTGTAGCACATGTGCTTGCTACTGGGATCTTGAGAGGGATGAGTGTCTTTTTGAGTGGGCAAAAGCTTTTCTTCCCCATGGCGCAGCGGCTGCACATTAAAATGCCATCAATACTGTTGCTGTTGTTTACCCTGAAGTTTGATGCATGTCTTCCTGCTTTTAGTCTCACATTTTAGTGCCCCCAGTTGCACCAGAACTAGCTGCTCTCTCGCCCGGAGAGGAACGTTTATGGCAAAATGGCAGTTTCTTTCACGGAATG